GAACAAGGGTCTAGCACCACTAAAAGTAAACAAAGCCACAAGTAACTGACAATGAAAGTAATCTCTAACCAACATCCGGCAAACGTTTGTTATATAAGTACAGTTAAAGTAGACCTTTACCACCTTTCACTGGAAATCACATCAGCATACAGCTCTGAATCACCAGCGCTTCCATCTTCGGCCCAGTGTTCTAGTGGGTTCTGTCTTTGACTGCTTGATTGGCCAGGGTCAGATGAGGTGATGGGGCACATGCACACGAGAGTTACTCTATCTCAGCAAGAATCATGCACGGCTCAGGCCTACCTCCATGTATACTTTGTATATTATGTCCACCAGTGATCACTGAAGATGTTGCACTTGCAGCAGGCCTGATCTCAGAAAGTAATAGCTGTCCCAGGCACATGTACCAAGCTGAGGTCAGCCAGCTAGCCATTACAGCAGGCCTAGTTAAAGAAAGTAATGGCCATCCCAGGTACCAAGCAGAGGTCAGCCAGCCATTACAGCAGGCCTAGTCAAAGAAAGTAATGGCCGTCCCAAGCACCAAGCAGAGGTTAGCCAGCCATTACAGCAGGCCTAGTCAAAGAAAGTAATGGCCGTCACCAGGCACCAAGCAAAGGTCAGCCAGCCATTACAGCAGGCCTAGTCAAAGAAAGTAATGGCCGTCCCAGGCATCAAGCTGAAGTCAGCCAGCCATTACTCTCTGGGTCCAGAGGTAATGCCTGCACAAATTATAAACACTGCTCTTGCCCTGGATAGCTGAACAATAAGACTTGTTCTTGGATTTGTCTGCACCCGAGGTCAGTTCCAAAAACTATAAATGGAGCTAGAGGTCTTGTTCACACCATAATCTGCAAGTTCCGCATGTCTTTATGCATTTTTGACACGTTCCTGTGTGTTTTTTTCTGAATTTGGTTTTAATTGTGTTCTGGTGCATTTACATGTGTTCCAGTGTGAAAAGAAGCATGCTGCAGTACTTTTTTGTTTAAAGCTCGGGAACTGAATGCAATGGTATAAACTAGCCTCATATAAAACCTTTGGCATTAAGGTGTACGTGTTTTTGGTGTGCATACAGTCTGGAGATAGTTATCCTTTAGGGCCTGTTTACACTAAGTAATGACTTCTGTGATCCACAGACTCAGAGATCTTTACTGCGCAGCCTTCAAGAATGCAGTGAGCTGGCCGAGATGCAAGACTGAACTGTGTCAGAACGCACTGGGGCTGGTATGAACTAGCCCTTACTTTCACAGTCAAAGTTGAACAAACCCACTACGTGTTTGTTATGTGTTGTCATTTACACGGCATACTGAAAACTATTTTTTTTACCCTTCTAGCCGTTTGTTTGTATCAGGATTATACACAGAACTCTACAGGCCACTCCTAGTGGTTAAACCAGATGGCAATGTGCAGATAAGGGAAAAACTGAGGGACAGTTTTTTTTTTAAAGGGTAATTCCAGTTTCCCAACGAATGTGTCAAAATGAAATGCCCCCACAAATCTGTCCCCTTTGCCTCCCAGTCATACCTTTGAGGAAATCGGCATAAACCCCCCCCCCCATTGCAGCCGGTGTACAACCCATACTCTGTACACCGCAATGCAGCCCAGCACTCGGCATCTAGAATAATGCTTGCAAATGGCAAGCACTCATTAGTCAGCACTTCCTTCTAAGAGGGGGCAGATTTGTGGATGGTAATGTCAATTTCACACATTTGTTGAGAACCTGGAAGTATCAGTACTCCTACTCGCAAAACTGGTATCTGTGCATCCCTTTATTTACAAGAACAAAATCATACATTAAAACAGAGATGTACAAATCCCAGGAGCTTCGTGTGCTCCTTCCAAATGACAGCTGCCTCCTAAGTCCTCGTTCACACCTGAACGTTTTGTAGCGCGTTCTACGATTTAAATTTTTCTCTAGTCTTGGAGCTCGAAATGTATCAGTACATGTACTTGTACTGAGTACGGTACTTGGTATCGCTGCATCCCTACTTTAGAGTAAATTCACATACAATGTAGCGCCCAAATCTTGATATAGTTAAAGAATAACAGCAGCAATTTGTATCCTTCAGAATAGCTAGTCCAATAAGTCACCTTTAGTATTCAGATGATGGGTCTCTGCTGTTTAAACTCTAACTTTCATTTATCCCGGATAATGGCCCTGTCGTTGTAAGCTACTTGAGGGTAGGGACTGACGCGAATGTGAACTATGTGAAGTGCTGGATACATTGTTGGTGCTATATAAATAACAGACACAGCACTCTTTCAGCTATGAGAGTTCTGCTGCTTATATGGTAAAGGATCAAGCTATTTACGTGCTCCCTCATCCAGCCACCAAAAGCTTTCTATTTTTTCACAGAATGCCAGGCAATCAGTGAATAGACAAAGGGAGATACTGTGTTTACCCGCCACTTCCCTCCCTTCATCCAATCACAGAACATCCTGCATTCTGACAAAATACATGTTTTGTTATGAATAGATGGGGGGAGAGGAGAGATGGGTGAACCACTTAATCCTTTACTGTGTAAGCATCAGAAAAAGGGCATTGTGCCTGGTATCCGGGATGAATGAAAGTCATGTTTCTATAGTAAACAGCAAGGATCCCGCGTCTAGATACTCATCAGAACAGGTAACGTATTGGACTTATTTTTATTATTGGCTGCTCGTTCGGTTTGGCGGAGAATTTTCTGACATGTTCCTTTGATCAGCTGATAAGAGGGATGCCGGTCAGAAAGGTGCTGATAGGCACTCACACTTTGAATTTCAGCCGGATAATCAAGAACTAGCCAAGATTCGAAGCGTGTACACTCAGATTAAGTTTCTTAATAAACAGCAAGTAATAAGGTACGCAGCAAATTTAATTTTTTTAAAATAATAACTCCGGGCATAAATATTCTTAACCCTTGCCATGGTGCTACCCCAAATGCAAGGGTTAAGTGCTTGTTTTTATTTAGGGGTGAAAATAAAAGTTAGTTATACTCCTCTGAACCTCACAGCCAGATGGCTGTTAGACTGCTTCCTCCAGCCTGTCTTTTCCCCTGCTCTAGTAATGGAATGTCCCTCGAATACACTGTATTGGACGTGATGACTCACAGGACCATAGACTGTCGGTCCGTGCTGCAGCCAGGACGGACCCTGACAATACTGTCGCGATTCATCCTGCTACCTGAGTAACTGTGCCACCCCCCTGTCCATTCCTCCAATGAGCGCTGGAGGAACAGAGAAAGGGGAGGGGGGAATCCCTGCAGGGAGCGATCACTGGCAGTCACTGCTCTCTGAAGATCGCTCAGTTCTCGGTCTATAAAGCCGACACGTCACGGCTTCAGTGTCACACGTCGGCTCTACTTACCGTATGAGGCATGTATTTCACTCTCCCCATAATTCTCCTGTAAGTTCTGCTATGTGAATGGCACCATGTAACACATCTAAAAGTAGGTGTTATACCAATGCGGCTGCAAAAGTGCATAGCACAGAAGGTCCTTCTTATAAACACAAAAAGGGGAATTTATCAAAACTGGAGCAAACAGAATCCGGAAACAGCTGGGCATGGCCACCAATCCGCTTCTACCTTTCATTAACTGGACAAAGTGAAGCCCCGCCCCCAAGGTACTCATTCCATAAATAAGAAGAGCATTCCTCATTTCAGTACAGTGGGTGGAACCATACAAACATTACTGCTTTACACCCCAGTGACTAGCTGCACATCCAGAACCTCTGGTGCAGAGTGCAAATACAGTAAACTCCCAGCACCCATGAGGATCAGTAGATGCCGGATAACCGGAGTTCCCGGATGCTTGAGAGTTACTATTAAAGTTCTCTCTCAGGTCTGCTCCGTGGGTGGGTGCAGTATCCAGCCTGCTGTCGGCTATTGCAATTTGAAATGGCCAATAGCAGGCTGCCTATAGCTCCCCATTGGTTACATTCAGCTGCCGACTGCAGAATCTAGCCGCTGACTAGGAGAAAGATGTAAACAAAGAATTTTGTTAGCAACCAAATAAATTGAGTTGCTAACAGAAGTTTTAGTGTGCACATGACTATTAGGCAACCAGCAGAAAAAGTTGGACATATTATATCCTAGATTTGGTTTTTTTGCCGGTTGCTTGAGAGCGCCATTTGCTTGAATGCAAGATAATGGAGAGTTTACTGTACAGCCAAGTATCATAGAACCAAGTATTCCAAGCTGCATACAGCTGTGCTACAAAAGTGGAAATACACTTTAATACCAGCAGAATTGTGTTTGAAAACATTTTCCAGTAAATAATGGGATCTAATCAACAACTGATTCCGCCCACAGTGACAAATAAAATGGATCGAGACACAACAACTTTCTCGAACAAACTAAATTCTAACAGTGAATGTGGTTTTCATTCAAGAAACTCCATTCATTCCAAAATCAAATGAAATTTGGAACGACATTCGCCAAGTCTTTAGTGTAGCGATGGGCAAATTCCAGCTGTGGTGAAACTACAAATCCCACGATGCACCTGCCTCTAGAAATCATGCCTGCAGCTGTGAAGAAGCAAGCAATGCCTTATGGGATATGTAGTCCCACAACAGCTGGAGGGCCAGAGTTTGCCCACCTCTGCTCGAACAGAACTAATCTTCTGACAAGATTTTATGCTATGAACATTGGTAGAAAATGCTGCCAGTTTAGGGGATGAAGGTCACACACTATGACACAAATAAAAGTAAATTGCTACAAATGTCACCATGACATCCAATTGTCAAGGTCACCCCAGCCAGGCCAGCTCACAACCCTCTGACATGGGGGGACATTTCCTTCCATTTATATAAAGTTGGTAGGGTTTGGTGACAGCTTTGCCATGCAGGGAGGACAGTGGCACAGGAAAGTCTTGGTACATATAACAGTAAGTAGTGCTGATCATATAGGCAGTATGCAGGGCATGCACACCCCTCTCTACACCCATTCACCAGCCTAATCAGTGACATGTGACCCCCCACGTCCCCCCAAGAATAGGCCCAGAGTAGTGACTTGCAGCCCTGACCTGCACCCCGGTGTAGTGCTGGAAGAAGAAGAGCACCATGCTCTGGTAGACGTTGTACAGCCGGTCGTCCCCCTTCCTGTACAGTCTCTCGGGCAGTAGGACGCTCAGGGCCCTCCAGCAGCCCCAGGCCAGCAGGTAGGAGGGTGCCGTGCCCAGCATGAGGGCGGCGGGCAGCACATAGCGCAAGGAATAGGTGTGCAGCACGGCGGACAGCAGCATGGTGAACAGACTCTCATTCACTGCCCGGCAAAAGAACAACGTTCGCCGCTGCACCTACTGACACCCGGCAACACGTGAGGGGGGCGTGACCGGGGCGTGGCGCCCATACCGCTGCCTGACACACGATGGACAGCTGCATGGTGAGGCTGGCGTCGGCATGGCGCGCATGTACCCACATAGAGAATGCAGCTGTTTACATTGAAAGGATGATTGGCCGTACACCGCCTTCTGTACTCACTGCAGATAAGGAAACAGGATATACCAGACACAGACCGCTTTGACGTCACGCGGAAGAGCACCGGCTGCTCCGCCATTTTTGTTTCTGGCAAATAACTTTTCCTCTAGGCCAGAAGAGAAGACAGAGAGGGGGGATCTACCAAAACTGGAGCAGGCAAAACCTACTTCAGCCGTAAATGGCAACCAATCAGCTTCTCTCTTTCATTTTCAAAGCTTACCTGAACAAACTGAAGTGAGAAGCTGTTTGTTTACTATGGGCAACTTCTCCAGATTCTGTCTGCTCCAGTTTTGATCAATTTCCCGCAGAGTGCTACTGAAACCCGTCTCTGCAAATAAACTGTTAGCTGCCATTCTCTGCAGATAGTTAACATGATATTTATATTCTGTTGCAGAATACTTGCTGCATTCTGCAACCACCAACCAGTGCTACAACCACACAATGGGTTAAAAATAATATAGGTATTATAAGGCTGGAATCTATTCCTGGAAAAGGCAGAAACATTATCTGTATCTAATAGAAGTAATTTTTATATGGCACAGATCAATAGGTGCCAACATGACATAGATATAGATTTGCTAATATCTCTGTTGTGCTCAAAAGTTCAATAACATCCAAACAGCATGGCCGCCCCTTTCAAGGGTCTGCCTGAAGGTGACCAGCCTTTGATTTAAACCAATTACCAGTAGCAGTCAAAGCTTACATTACTGCCAAGTCGTACCCCTGGGGTAGATGTATGAATCCTCTCAGTGTTTAAAAGTTCAACAGTTATACAAACAACTTTGTATAGGACCTATACACTCAAAAATCAAATTCTGCCAATGCACCCCTCTATGTATGAATGTTAATAAGAACATAGACATGTCAGCTGTAAAATGCTGTGGTTTTAATACTTACACTTGCAGAGCATTCACTTCCTGCTTTGAAAGGGCAAAATGACTTCAGTTTGCCAAAGCAATGCACACTGGGATTGCCTTGTCATCAGCAGAGCAAGAGCATTCTGGGAAATCTCATCTGTAATCTCCTGAGATCTCAGTGAAAGGCATTTTCCTCCCCTGAGATGATGTGCATGGTCACATGTCCTAGTCACATGTGCCAGATTTTCAGGAAGTAAAAGGAGATCTAGTAATCTGCCCTTAGGCTGGGTTCACACCTGGGCGTTTTTCCTCACTTTCGTACTCGCGGAAAAACGCTCAAACAGGGAAATGCCATTATTTTCAATGTGCATGGTTCCCATCTGGGCGGTTTTCCGTGAGTACGAACGCGTGGGAAACCGCCCTACGCCCAAAGAAGTACATGTACTTCTTTGGGGCGTTTTGGTCGGGCGTTTCCATTGGGATACAGCTAAGTAGCCCTCGGAAACGCGCATATTCAATACGCCTAGGTGTGAACCCATCCTTAGTAAACATGGCCACTGTCAGAAGACTGGGGAAGAAAAGCCGGCAATTATCTAGAAGTATGTGTTTGTAGATTGTCATTACTGAACATTTCTAAACATTTATTTGAAAGATATGGGTAAAGGACCGCTTTAAAGCAGGGCTGGGCATCTCCAGCCCTCCAGCTGTGCGTTAGCTACAAATCCCAACATGCCTCTGGGGGGGTCATGCCTGTAATTGTCAGTCGTGCAATGCCTCATGGGACTTGTAGTTCCACAACAGCTGGAGGGCTGCAGTTGACCACCCCTGGCCTAAAGCCTATGTGTTTATCCCCCCCAGTGCTCCCCCTCCCACCAAAGTCACCCAGTCTGTATTTTATGATTGTTGTTTTTATACTGCCATTAAATGATGCAGGGCCCTCTTCTCCTGGCGGTAGGCTGTTATCCGTGATGCAGAGCTTTAAGACGATGTGATGATATCTGTGCTGCTCTCTGCACCATTGCACAGTAAATGCAGGACGGTGATGTCCCCAGGGAACAGGTACATGGCTACTTGTACTCAATGTATGTTCTCAGTCTTCTCAATCAAATGATACTGGGTGTCGTTCAATCTTTTTGACAGTGGACCTCTTGTGGTGAAGAAGAGGTACAGCAGGTGACAGCACTAGATTATGAGGGTTATTCACAAAGCTAGCCGAAGGATCAGCTGTAGCTCCGGCACTAAAGCCCATACAGCTCCCGAAGTTGGCCGAGCGGCTCAGCCGAGCCAAAGGCATTTGCTTCGGCTCGACTGAACGGCCGGCCGAAAGCCTCGCAATGGACAGCTGGGCGGAGCCAGCCGTGATCTCACAGCTTGCTCTGCCCAGTTGCAGTGACAGATCTGTCATTAAACAATGACAATTCGGCGGAGGCCGCCGTGACGTCACGGCCGGCTCTGCCCAGTTGTTATTCATTGGCCGGGACCTGCTAGAGTCTTCAAGCAGGTCCCGGCCAATTGTAAACAGTTGGGCTGTCACTGCTAGCTCCGCCCAATTGTCGAACTCCTTCTGTACTCCGGCTCAGACGCACGTTCGGCTGAACCCAGACGAAGCAAGCCGATGTACGGCTGAAACAAGCCTGTAGTGAATAGCCGAACAGCGTTCAGCTCACTTCACTTCGGGTCAGTTATTCATTCGGCTGCCTTCGACAGCTTTGCGAATAACCCTCTATAAGTGAGTTCTGCAGCCAGAGCTGTTTTATTATTTTTAAAACACGTTGAGGGGATTTTATCAAAACTGGAGTAGACAAAATCTGGAGCAGCTGTGCATGGCAACCAATCAGATTCTCTCTTCAGTTTGTTCAGTTAGGCTCTGTTCACACCTGGGCGTATCGAATATGCGCGTTTGTCGCGCGTTTTTACCGCGATTCGACAAGCGCGCGTTTCCGAGAGCTAGTTGGCTGTATCCCAATGGAAACGCTCGACAAAAACGCTGCAAAGAAGCTCATGTACCTTTTCAGGCGTGGGCCGTTTTGTAGCGCGTTCAGACGGGCTGAAATACGGCAAGGTGTGAACCATACCCATAGAAAACAATGGTATTTTCATGTTTGAGCGTTTTTTAGAGCATTCGTAGAGCGTTGAACGCGCTACAAAACGTACAGGTGTGAACCAGGCCTTAAGGTTTTAAAATGAAAGAAAGAAGCTGATTGATTGCCATGCACTGCTCTCCAGATTTTGTCTGTTCCAGTTGTTATAAATTCCCCTCGCTGTATGATAATGCGTCATAATGTGCTGAGGTGTAGATAGGAAAGGTCAAGATGAACTCTCAAGATGAACACCAATCTTAGAATGTAAGCAGCAATCGAATGAGAAGGTATGAAAGCTACTGAGAATATTTCTGATAATATTACTAGATTTTCATCATTTATTTATAGCGTGTAGAGCCTTTCATGTACTAACACATTTTCTGGGGGGTTTTTAAGTGGCCAATACATTGATATATTTGTGTAACGGAATGGCCGCATTACCTGGTTAAGCTATTGTGGAAGGTTTAGCTTTTCTATTTGCTTTACAATTGCCTGCATAATAATCATTGAATCATTGCCTGTTGTTCATTCATTCAGAAAAATGCCAGTGCCAAAGTTGAATCAGCAATAGATCTGGTTCACACTGAGGTGGGAGAAATATAATTATGCTTTGCCACATTTGTCACACCTGAATATACTTGCCCTCTACTAACCCTGTCGGTGTGCAGAGAACTCCCAGAATGGTGAATGGGTTTAATCATAGGGAAACCTATTGAACCTTTTAGAAGCACTTCAGGCAATGCTGCAGAAACATTTTGTCCCCCATAATTTAACCTTTGACCTCTATTTGCCAAACAACATGGGAGCAGACTGGCAGTAGCTGTCACTGGACTCTTGGATTGTTTATTCATTAGGTAAAGTGGGAAAAGTCTCTTTTTTTTCTATTTTTTACCAGCAGTGACTTTTCTATTTTACTTTTTATTTTACCTTTTTTATGGGGAAACATTTTTATTTTAAAGCTGAACACCGGGCAGGAAAAATGTATTCTTAATTGGCAGGACTTGTGCCAGAACGTTTTCCATTACTTTTTGCAGTCTGTTTTTTTGGGTAGTTCTTGTACCCCAAAAGGTCCGATTTGCGGTATGTGTAATGCTAGCTTCCTGCTGCGAAGGGACACCACTGGTTTCTCCATAAGAAGATAAGCAGCCTGGCTTCCAGCTGCGTCTAAATAATGATAGTATACGGCAGCCTTTCTCTTCCATGGTGTTCTGGCACACTGGTGAGCCTCCTGGTCTCCTCAGGGGTCCTCAGAATTTTTGGGTAGTGGGACTGCGATGTGAAGCGGCAATGAAGACTAATGTGATGGGTGCTCCTGATGTAAAAGGGGAACTCTGATGTTAAGGGGGGCTACTTATGCAAAGGGTGACTCTGATGTGGGGAGGGGTCTTGATTTGAAGGGGGCACATGGGTGTAAAGGGGGAAATCCACTTTTTTTGTATGGGGAGATGTCAGCAGCACACCAGAATCATTTCAAATCCCGAATGTTCATTTATTGAAACATCATGTCACCAGAACAAGTGCTTTCGGGGCGACATGACGTTTCAATAAATTAACATTCTGGATTTGAAATGATTTTGGTGTGCTGTTGACATCTCCCCATACATGTTTATCCCCCCCAGTACCCCCCCTCCCACCAAAGGCACCCAGTCTGTATTTTATGATTGTTGTTTTTATACTGCTATTAAATGATGCAGGGCCCTCTTCTCCTGGCGGTAGGCAGTTATCCGTGATGCAGAGCTTTATGACGATGTGATGATATCTGTGCCGCTCTCTGCACCATTGCACAGTAAATGCAGGACGGTGATGTCCCCAGGGAACAGGTACATGGCTACTTGTACTCAATGTATGTTCTCAATCAAATGATGCTGGGTGTCATTCAACTGATTAAAAATGTGTTTTAAACTTCCGTAGCATCATACAATAACTTATTCATATACTAGAGGCAGCCAAGCTTGAGAGGCACAGTTTCATTGGTTTGTTACTGTCAAC